ATGACTGAAACCCAATCATGAACAACTTTGTAACTGTGTATCTCATGGTGATTTAATAAAAATTAAAAGTTAAAAAATTTAAAAAAAAAACTGGCGAATGAGTCCATGGCTCTGTCCACTGTGTTCCAAAGAACTATTCACAAGTAAAAGGCAGGAGTGACCGAAGGAAAGTCTCGGGTCCACGGGACCAGCAGTGTGAGAGGGGGCAGTGGCCACTCCAAGGAGACACACAGTGACTTCATTTCTCTGACCTGGGAAAGAGGCAAATGCCGGGCCCAAAAATGAGGTCAGGGGCCAAGGGACAGCAGAGGGGAGGGCACTCATCCACCCTCCTCACGGCTGGCCCAGGTGTGATCCCTGAGCCCTGCCAGTGACCCCTCAGCACAGAGCCAGGAGCAAGCCCTGAGCACTACCCGGTGTGGCCCAAAATCTCAAAGGGAAAAGAACTAAATAAAAAGACGAGAGGTGAGTGGTCGGCAGTGGGTGGCCGAGGGATGCAGAGCCGCCTGCACAGTGCAGGGGAGTTTCCGAGGGTGACGGGCTGTTCTCAGGCTTAACGGAGCTGGTGGCTCAAGGCCACACTTGGCAAAATTCCTTGAAGTACATAAAAAAGGATAGATTGGAACGGATGTAAATTACTCCCCAAGGATCATAACTTACACATTATCACTGTCACTGTCACTGTCCTCCCATTGCTCATCGATTTGCTCAAGCGGGCACCAGTAATGTCTCCATTGTGAGACTTGTTACTGTTTTTGGCATATCGAATACGTCACAGGGAGCTTGCCAGATTTCGCCGTGCAGGCGAGATACTCTTGGTAGCTTGCCAGGCTTTCCGAGAGGGCGGAGGAACTTACACATTATACAATATTAAATGTCAACCTAGCTTCCACTTTTCAAAAGAAAATTAATTCAGGTTATAAAAAAAAAAACACGATGCCATAAACAGAAGCCACAGTACCACGAGTGGTGAGAATCCACAAGACACGCCCCATCAGCACCAGGTACCGCGACCACTTTCCACTCACAGCCAGGGAACACCAGACTCACAGCGAGGGAACACCAGACTTGGCCTGATCACCACAGCACCTGCGTTCCCCACCCCCACCCTGCTCGGCTGCTTGGAGATTCAAGTGAAAACGATCCACTCTGAGCCCCGCCCCCCACTTTCACTCTTCCTCTGGCCAAGTGTGAACTGCCCCTCAGGGGCGGGTGTGTTCCCCCCCCACCCAGACAGCACTAGGGGAGGCCAGGTCAGGTCGGGGAGGCCGGCGCAGGGTTTGGGGGAGTTCTCCTCCCTCTGGGCCTCAGTACAAGACGAAGCCGCTGAAAAGAGGGAGTGAGTCCCCGGTACCCCACACAAAAGGGGCTCAGGAGCTGCCTGGCACTGGGTGACATGACTATACACCCTTTCCTTTGTAGAACACTCGCCTGTGGGCTGTGGGCTGCAGAGAGAAGCCGGTCTGCAGAGGCTTTCTTATTTGAGTCCCCGGTCCCCTCGGAGCAAGGCTGAGTGACCTGATGGAGTCTGTTTCCTTCACCTGGACCTTTCAGGGCTAGGAGTGCGCCTTCCGGGAGCACTGACCTTGGATCCCAGAGGGAAGGAGGGTTACGGAGCCACCCGGGGCTGTCCGGGTGCCAGCGGCAGAAGCGGGACAGGCACTCCACGGCCCACGGCTGGGCCACAGCCCCTTCTGGCCCCAGCAGGAGGCTGGGGGTGGGGAAGGCCTGACCCCGCTGCTGGTGCCTGGGCAGGTGAGGTCACCACAGGGCCGGCCAATGCAGGCTTCGCCGGGGGTGCCCAGAGAGTCAGCCACGCGAGCAGGAGGGCAGAAAGATGGCAGCGCCCGCCTGTCACCCGCAGCCCTGCACGGGAGACGTGCTGCCCAAGCCTGGCCTGGGGCTCCTGCCTCACAGACCCTTACATAGATGGGCCCAGCCTGAGCAGGCGGAATGGCCAGCTCCAGCCACACGGCCCACGGGAGCACCAGGCCGCCGCAGCCAGGTCCCAGGCTCACCCAAGCAGTCCCAGCTTTGGGAAGGAAGGCGTGCCCACTGTTTCTGTCTCCTCAGCACAGCCTAGGGCTGGAAGGGCACAGTGGGTGGGCACCTGCCCTGCACATGGGTGACCCCCGGCTCCATCCCCGGTACCCCACCCGGGCCCTTCCAGGAGGGATTCCTGAGCACAGAGCCAGCAATCAGTCCTGCGCACCATCAAGGATGGCCCCAAAACACACAATCAGAAAGACAGTCAGAACTTTCTGGAGCACAAACTCCAGCAGGAGAGAGGACTGAGCCCCAGGGATCGAGTGCCATTGGCCGTGCTGCTCAGACCCTCCCAGGGAAGTCACCCCCACCCCCACCCCCAGCTCAGCAGTCCTGGGATGCAAGGAGGGACAGGGAAGCATCCGCTGCTGAATGAAGGAAACGTGTTCCGGGGCTGTGGGCCCCCGGGGCCATGATGTCACAGGGGAACCATCAGGGGAAGAGCCGAAAGAACCTCTCCAGGCCATTCCTTATTTTATCTTTGGCTTTGGGACCACACCTGGTGGCGCTTGGAGCTTCCTCCTGACTCGGTGCTCAGGGATCACTCCTGGCAGGGCTCAGGACCAGATGGGGGTCAGGGGATCTAAGCCAGGTGGGTCGCGTGCAAGGCAAGTGTCAGCTCAGCACCGAACCCAGGACTGCAATCTGGGCCACTGTCACTGCAGCTCTGGCACCCGGACAGCCCCGGGTGGCTCAACAACGCTCCTTCCCTCTGGAACCCAAGGTCAGTGCTCCCGGGAGGCGCACTCCCAGCCCTGAAAGGTCCAGGTGAAGGAAACAGACACCATCAGGTCACTTGGCCTTGCTCCGAGAGGACCAGGGGACCCAAATAAGAAAGCCTGAGAGAAGCAGGAGAAGGCGAAGCCCAGGGCTCGCCAAGGACACCTCACAGGGCTCCGATGATCCCCACCCATGGTAACCACCCCACCCGCTGACCCCTACCCATGCTAACTGCCCTACCCGCTGACCTTACCCATGCTAACCGCTCCACCCGCTGACCCTACCCATGCTAACCACCCCACTCCCCTGCCCATGCTAAGCCCCACCCAGCGAGCATCCTGAAAAGCCATCCGCGATGAGAACCCAAGCCCAGGCATGGTTCCGCTTAGCCAGCGCCACAGCTCCGGCAGGGCCCTGAAGTGCTCTGACCCCGACGCCCAGTGCGGGCACCTAAGAGGGGCTGGACTATGTGTCCCCAGAAGGCACTTTGGCCTCTGTGCCCAGCCCGTGTGAAAGTCCCACCGGGAAAGACCTTCTAGACGTGCTCCAGGTGACTCTCAGCCCACCTGGCCGGTGGCTCAATGCAAAGACCCCAAGATTCGGGGCTCCGGGGCCCACAGCACTGCTCTGAGCCTGGGGCAGCACCCAGCAGTGCTGGCAGGGGAGAGGCGGGGGGGCAGGAACCAACCCAGGACTCTGGCCGCTGCACTAGCCCAGGAGGCCTCTGGGGGCAGCTGGGTTCAGAGATGGCCACATGTCCTTGTGAAGACCTGGAGGAGGCCGGGAAGCTGATCTGCAGCCCAGCCCAGCAGCAGAGGGAAGTGAGGGGCCGCGGGAAGCACCTGGCCCAGAACCACAGGGACGGAGGGGGCGTCTGCTGTGCAGGGCACCCATGACAGCAGCCGCAGGAAATGGGCCCCCACTGGGCCCTGGTGCTGGCACTCCGACCCATTAGTCCAATCACTAATGTCCCGGCTCCCCCAGGCCCAAAGTCAGCAGGCTCAGGGGTCCAGCACACCCGTGGTCCCGGCCCTGAATGCCCCTGGGGGGTGCTCAGGACCTCAGCTCAAGCGCTCTCTTCTCTAGGGCGGGAGGGAGCTGAGCTGTGGGGGCTCTCTGGCAGAGCTGGGAAGGCTGCAGGTGGTGAGAGACGCTGGGGACAGGGGCCACTGTCATGACCAAGTGACAGCCACCTCAGGAACCCCTCCCGGAGAGAACTTAGCCTTCAAAGTGGACTGGACTGTATGAGCCGGCGGTGACGGGACAACTGCAGTCTCATGGGAAGGGGGGCGGTACCGGCTCATCCTTCACGCCCTACCGAAGTCACGAGTTGCCCCCCCCGCCCCCCCAGTGGCTCTCCGGCACAGCCATAACACCAGACGCACAGAAACCAATCTTGTTATTATCTGGATCTTTGCAGATATCCAAAATCGCATGGCCATGTGACATTATATGATTCTCATAACCAGCTATAGAAAATAAAGTATTTCACAATGCCTTTTCAGCAATTCTGATTGTTGGGGGGGGGGGAATTCTAAACAATAATGGTGTATCTTTTGTCAAAATGATGAATGTAATCAATGTAGAGAAGTAGAAATCATCTGCCTCAAAGGCATTGGGTGGGGTGGGAGGGGGGTTCTTGGTGGTGAAATGTGAGTACTGGTGAAGGGAAAGATGTTCGATCATTGTACGACTGAGACTTAAACCTGAAAGCTTAGTAACTTTTCCCACAGTGATTCAATAAATAAATATAAGAAAAAAATAAATAAACAGAATTATGGGGAAAAAAAAAAAGTAAGGTGGAGTTCATGCCCAATTCAATCAGCTAATCAGTGGCTGAATAAATAGCAGTACTCCTACATAAAAAAAAAAAAAAAAGACACTGGGACGGATCCCAGCCGGTCCCTGAGGCCACAGCAATCTGGGGCCAGGCTGCTGGCTGAGCGGGCACAGTGGACAGGCCATCCGGGCAGCCCTGCACCGAGCAAAGGCGATGTGTATGCCTGCCAGGCCCACCTCCCACCTTGGCCCAGCCCTGTGAGAACCCCCGGGCCCATCTCCTGCCTGGTCCCAGCCCCCATGAGAGCCCCCGGACCCAGCTCCCACCCATCCTGGCCCTGTGAGAACCGCCCCCACCCCCCTCCCCGGCCCACCTCCCGCCTGGTCCTGGCCACGTGAGAGCAGCGTGCCGGCGAGCCACGTGGACGAAGCCCGGCCCACAGGAGGGCACTCACCCGCACTGCTGAGGGAGCTGCTGCTCTCGGAGTCTGACGGCATGATGGAGAGGACACTGTAGGTGGAGCCTGTGGACAGAGGAGACAAGCACGTGACTGCCCAGTCTTGGTCCGACCCGAGCCACCACCACCCTGACCACGCTCAGCCCCGGGGTGAGGCTTCGGGACCAGCCTGGCCATCCCGCTAGAGGCCTGCAGCAGCCAGCACCAGGTGGCGAGGACTGGGAGGCGCTGTGTCCCCCTACTGGGCTGGGGGCCCCGCAGAGCTGCCCCAGGGCCCCGGTGCTATGTGCGGAGCTGGCCTGAGTCTCATCGGACCAGCCGGTGGTCCCTGGGTCTCAGGATGTTCCAGCTCAGCCCCTCGTCGCTGAATCCTTGCCCCCTCCTTATTAATGGAACTCGCAGAGTCACCCACCATTACGGAGTCACCCGGTCCAAGACAAGCACAAGACCGTTCTCGAGAGTGCTAACGCCCAGCCGCGGGCTCGGTGGCAGCGGTCAGGGCTTCACTGGCCGATATCTGAGCTGGGCTGGGAAAGTCAGCATCTAAACCCAAGCACGGAGGAAGCTCCCTCAGCTCTGTGGCCCAGTGCTGGTCCGTGGCGGGACAGGGCCGCTCCCTGGTGGGCCTTTCCCTCGTCCAGCACAAACACACCCCAAGCGAAGGCAAAGCAGCTCTGAGACGAACCCAGGGATGGGCGGGAAGAAGCAAGAGCCCGAGAGGGAGCACAGCTCTCTCTGAAGAAGGATGAGCCGAGGGGTGGGAGCACGTGCCCAGTGCCCAGAGTTGCTGACCCCGAGGATGCTACTGCTCCAGGCAGACAGCGGGGTCACACTGTCTGGACACCACACACCTCCGGAGGGAAGGGAAGGTGGGGCGGGGGTGGAGGAGGGGAAGACCACTGGGAGGCCCCAGAGTAGGGGAACACCTGGGAGAGGAGGTGGTGGCACATGCAGGGATGACAGTGACGGGAAGAACCGGGGCGTGGCACAGGCCATCACAGTATCGGCAGAGTAGATCTGGCCTTCGGGAGACTCGGTAAACAGAATGCGAAGGAGGCAGCCCCCAGCACCGGGCCTTCCCCGGAGCAGGACACAGCTCAGGTCAGCTCTGTACAGCTGCAGAGGGACAGAGCCCGAGGCCCAGCACCCCGGAAGTCCGTGCCGGGAAATGCCTCCCAATCCGCCCATCTCGCTGCCCAATCAGCATCTCTGAGTTGTTGCTTTCCTTTGACTTGTTTATGGGTCACCCCCAGCAGTGCTCAGGGCTTACTCTGCGCTCAGGGATCATTCCTGGCAGAAGTGGGGGGGACCATATGGGGTGCTGGGGATCAATCCCGGGTTAGCTGCATGCAAGGCAGCACCCTCCCCGCCGTTCTATCACTCCAGCCCCAACATCTCTGAATTCTGTCGCCACCAAACATCACAAGTCTCTCCTCCTCCCAGAACACAAACATTAAGTGTGACTTAAACATCTGTGGGAGGGGCTGGAGAGATGGTGAGCAGGCAGGACATGTGCCTCGTTCGATTCCCGGCACCACACGGGGCCATGCCAGCAGCAATCCCTGAGCGCAGAGCCAGGTGTAAGCCCTGAGCACTCTTGGCAGGCTGAAACCCGGGGGTGGGGAAAGAAAAAGATGTGTGAAATGAAGTCAGAGGCAGTCTAGGTGACCTGGTGACAGCTTCAAAGGGGCAGGAAGGAAGCAGAGGGCAGAGGGCGGGCGACCCCTCACACAGCCCCAGGCAGCACCGCAAGCCCGGCACCAACCCAGCCCTGGGAGCTGCAGAAGCACCACAAAACGTCCGCTTTCTAGACCACAGACATTCTCTCCATTTTTTTTTTCTTTACGGGGCTGGAGCGATAGCACAGTGGGTAGGGCGTTTGCCTTGCACGCGGCTGACCAGGATTCGATTCCTCCGTCCCTCTCAGAGAGCCCAGCAAGCTACCAAGAGTAATCCTGCCCGCACGACAGAGCCTGGCAAGCTTCCCGTGGCAGATTCGATATGCCAAAAACAGTAACAACAAGTCTCACAGTGGAGACGTTACTGGTGCCGGCTCGAGCAAATCGAAGAACAACTGCAGGACAGTGCTACGGGGACCAGGAAGAGAGTCCACTGGTGGGCCAACAGGCTGTTTCAGAATGCGCCTACTGGGAGGAGCGGGCTCCGATAAACTCCCACTCCTGACAGCTCTGGGCTTGGCCCCATCCTGCCTCCACAGCCTAGCCGCTCACGCCCGCCTCTCTCTGCGTCTCCCAGGAAAACACGCACCCCTGCGGCCAATTTCCATCTCCACGGGCTTGGCAGGGGCCGCGCCCTCTCCCCAGCTCCTCCCAGACCAGAGCCCAGCGGCCAAACAAAACACGCTGCGCCCTGGGTCCTTCCCGAGTCCCATCCGGAGTCTCAGTCCCCGTGTCTCCGTCCCCGGGTCCTTGACCCTACGTCTCCATCCCTGTCCCTGCATCTCTGTCCCCGCGTCCTGAGCGGGGCCCTGAGGGGTGACTTGGGGTTCTGTGCCACATCCCCACTGCACCCCTACACTCAGGCATAGGGACCAGAAAGATTTCCTGAAGCGAGGAAAGTGAACCATCATTGGGGCTGGGGCAGGGAGTGACCCAAAGAGGACAGGCAGGTCTGGGGGGTGGGGGTGGGGGCACACGCGAGCCCCGACAGAGGGAGCTGGGACAGGTGTGGGCTGCAGAAGGTAGTAGGAGGGGTCATGGGGCAGGAGGGGGCATGTGGGGGTCACAGGGCAGGGGCAGGTGGGGTTGCAGGGCAGGGGGCACATGGGGTCGCAGGGCAGGGGGCACGTGGGGTCACGGGGTGGGGGGCAGGCAGGGGCACACCGCGTTCCCACACCCTGGAAAGGTGAGGAAGGGCCACTGGTGGGACAGGCACTCTGGAAGCAGGGGCGGAGGCGCCTGGGGGCTGCAGGGGCCAGTGGGTAACTCCAGCCCCTGCCCCTGTCACCTCTGAGGAGCCACAGCTCAGCCAGATGCCCCGGGTGTGTCCCTCCCCGCCCCCATGTGTCCCTGCGGGCGCCTCGGCCTCCCTGTCCACTTCGCATCCCTACTGGATGGACTGGAACCAGCTGGCAGGGCCGCGCAGGGTCTGGTGGGGGCGGCCGGGGGCCGCGCTCACCCACCTCCAGAACCCCTGGACGGTGCTCAGGGACCCAGTCAAGGGGGGGTCTTGCCACACTCACCCAACAGCACTAGGTGGCCCGGCACCAGGGAGCCACGACGCACCGCTGGTGTCCGGCGGCCGGGGCGCTCCTGGCCCACAGCGGGCGGGAACAACTCCGTGCTGGCTTGGCCACCGAGAGGACATGGCCAGGGGCCAGGCAGCCGGGCGGTGAGTCACACGGCTCCTGAGCACTGCCAGGTGTGGCTCCTGAGCACCGACGAGTGTGAGCCCAAAAGAAGGATAGGACAGCTGCACCCCGGGTCACTGCGCAGGGCAGCGGCCCAACTGTGTGGGGGGGCAGCCAGACAGGAAAGGACCGGCTGGCCCTGCCAGACAGCAGCCGCCAACAGCACCCAGAAGCCGGATCAACCTCAAGGAACACGGGCAGAGCCGGGCCCTCCCCCAGGCCCTCACACCTGGCCCCTCCCCCAGACACAGGGCCAAGACAGGGTGGGGGCCCCATTGGAGAGGGCAGGCCCGGAGGCTGCAGAAAGGAAGGAGGTGGACGCCACTCAAGGGCTTCCCCTCCAATGAAGGCGCGAGGCTGTGCTTGCTGAGGGCAAAGTCGGGGCTGCCAAGGCCCCACATTCCCAGGCGGGGAGGGGTGCGCCAGGCCCCTGGAGCAGGAGGAGGAGCGCATAGGCCAGCAAGTCCTGCTTCAGCCCCTACACACCCGCCTGAGGGGCTGAGCACACAGGGACAAAGGGTGGATGGAGGAAGCACCCACAGACTCTATCTGCCCCCCAAACTCTCCACTTTGTAAGGTAAGCTTATCTCCCAGGCTGCAGTAACAATACCGTGCTCCCCACAATTTACTGTTTGTTTGGCTTGGGGGCCACACCTGACAGTACTTGGGGCCCCGCGCCTCCCACCACACACACACACACACACACACACACACACACACACACACGCACGCACGCATACGCACACATACTCACACAGTGTGTCTGGCTTGGAGAGAAAGCTCATGCCGTGCATGCACATGGCCTGGGTTCGGGCTTGCACACATGCGTGTCCACACACATCCACAATCACTCTTTCCTCAAAAGCAGAAAAGAGGTCCCCAGCCCCGGGAAAGCCGGCCACACTGTGCCTTCCAGCCTCCCGCGGGCACCCCAGGAAACGGGGAAGGGGCTTGGGAGGCACTTCAAATGCCAAGGGGAAACGGGTTACCTCACACTCACAGGGAACCCTCAGGGAGAAAGATGATCTGGAATAACAAGAGGAACAGTTCGCTGATCTGTACTGTAGCACTGTCCTCCAGTTGTTCAATTTGCTCGATCAGGCACCAGTAACGTCTCACAACTAATTGTGAGACTTTGTTGTTACTGTTTTTTGGCCTATCAAATATATCACGGGTAGCTTGCCAGGCTTTGCCGTGCGGGCGAGATATTCTCGATAGCTTGCCGGGCTCTCCAAGAGGGGCAGAGGAATCGAACCCGGCCTGGCCACGTAAGCCGTGTGCAAGGCAAACGCCTTACCCGCTGTGCTATCGCTCCAGCCCCGCTGATCTGTACAAAGAGGAAAATATAAGTCCAGGTCCAGAACCACAGGAAGGAAACCAGAGCGCTTCGTCCTCACGCCAGCCAAGCCCCATCTGCTCCCAGGCCAGGTCCGCAGGCCAGCTATGGGGAATCCCCGCAGGCCCACACTGGTCACTAGCACGGCGGCTAGAAATGTGTGTGGACCCAGTCAGGGCTGGTGAATCCCTGCCGCAGGGTGGGGCAGTGTGGAAGGGAACGAAAGAGAAGGTAATGACGTGGCTAAGAGTTTACGGGGTCTGTGGTGGGGAGGACGCACGGGGGAAGGGGCTTGCTTTCACACAGCTGAAGCCCAGGCTCAATCACACATGGCCCCTGAGCCCCCAGGAGTGACCCCTG